CTAGGTTAAGGAGGGAGCTGGTAAGCCACCCCTTTGGCCTCCTCTGCCCTGAATCTCTCTCTAGAAGGACAGGCAGAAACATCCCCTTCTCCGTCACAGTGACTCAGGCCGAGATTGATCCAAGTCCTGGCATGGGAGAGACTGAGGTCACCATCCTGGCAGCCAATGACCCTGTGATGGGGCAGGGGACATTTTTCATCCAGCTGCAGACGACATCTCGACCTTGGTGGTGACAAGGCCTGGCCTCCTGGGACTCCTGGTGCAAGCACGGCCCTCCAGTGCAGGAAGAACAGGCCTGAAAGCTCCCAGCAAGAGTACAGGTTGGGATGGATGCCTAGTATGATCCCTAGCCTGCAGATGGAAGCCACAGAGCAGAAGCAAGCTCAGGTCCTAGAAGCTAGCTGGTCCAGACTCAGGTCCAGGGTCCAGGAAACAAAGCTAAGCTCCTGAGCCTCCCCATCAATCCAGAAAAGCCTCCAGAACTAAGCTACCCCCTCCAGGCCCACCTCTGAGCCCTGGCTCTCCCACAGCTGGCCAAGGGTGGCACACCTCTCCTGCCTCTCCAGCTGTCTGGGGCTTGAGGCAGGGACAGGCCATGGATGGCCTCCAACTCCAAGAGATCAAGAGGACTTGATGGAAAGTGACTCCCACCAGGGAGAGATGCTGGGGCCAGCCCACAGCTGGCTAATCCCAGCACCCCCCGAGTGTCCCTGGAGCTTAGCTGAGCCTGCCAAAGGGCCAGATGTCCCAGGTTCTGAACAGCTGGGTAGCTGGTGGCAGCAGAGCACTACATTCTCTAAGCACAGAGCCCAGTGTGGCGGCAGGATGAGCAGCCACTGGGCTCCTTAGAGGACTGGGCAAGTAGGAGGTGTGTCACGGAAGCCGCACAGTTGGAAGCATGCCAAGGAGCCACACTTCTCTACCTAGCTCAGGCCTGTGTCCCCAGGCATAGTCTTAGGTTTAAAGTATTCAAGTGTTCAGAAGTTGAAGGCCAGAGAGGGCATTGCTGCCAAAACCTGAAGCTCTCCACTCTGTTGTGGACTCTCCCCCCTACAACGAGCAGAAAAACAGGCCATGACTAAGCATTTAGTGAGCTCTTACTGCGTGGAAGGCAGTCTCTGAAAACCTTCCCCATACCCATTCCTGGTCAGAGGAGGAAACTGAGGCTCCAAGGTCATGACCACTCGATCTGTGTTCTCAAAACTTGATTAGCCACTCAGAGAGGCACCTAGATTCAAGAGCGAGCGAAATTAAACTTCAACTTTTTAACTCCTGGAGAAGGGCTACATCGTTCTGTCTGTGGAGCTCAGGAAGAATACTAGTGGCCCACTATTACCCCCCCCCCCCCCCCCCGCGGGCCACACAGGGCCTTACACTTCCCCCTGCTGTGTCCCCTCCTCTCTCAGCAAGGAGCCCCCCAGAGGCAGGCCCTCAGCAATAAGCCACCCATGACACCAGTATGTCAGGGAGCTAAAGACTCCTGCACCACCGTCCCTCTGTCAGTGATGACAGCCCATACCCCTCACCTCCCCCAGATGGCAGCTCCATCGCTGAATCTCGGGAGCCGGAGGCCAGAAGATGCACAAGGGGCTCTTTTACACGAGACCCAAGTGGTCCGCCCCATGCCAGCTCCTGGGCCTCCCCATCCTGCCTCACGTGACCGTAGGACCCCGGGGTTCCCTCGAAGACACTCTTCCTCTATCGACAGAGCCTCTATCACTCAAATGTCCTCAGCTCAGCTGGCCACTGGTGACTACCTAACAGACACCCGTCAGGCCGCCGCCTTCCACAGCAGCCATTCGTTTCTCTCTTCGCTTGCTCCTGAATTCACATCCCGTCACCCTGCTGTGAGTAGAACTGTACCCCCAAAAGAAGATTCCAGTCCCACGAATGTGAAGTAACCTCCATTCTGCTCTCGTGGACAGTGCTGTGGGGGTGGCCTCAGAGACAACTGGAAGAAGTCAGTTCTCTCTTGCTCTGTGGGTTGCAAGGATCAGGTTCGGGTGGTCAGGCTCGGTGGCAAGCGCCTTTACCCACTGAGCCATCTTGCCTTCCCACTTTCTGGCTGTTTCTTTACATGGGTTCTGGGAGATCAAAGTCAGCAGCTCTTGCTTTCACAGCAAGCCCCTCCCTGACCAGCCACCTCCCCAGCCCTGCTGTCATCTTCTCACTCAGGTCATGTCTGCCTGAAGTTCTAGAAGCGTGGCTGGGTTACATACATGTGTGCACACGCACACCCACACCCGGCCTTCCTCCACCAGCCAGGGAGGAGAGGGCTGCTCCCCGTGCACTCAGGAAGGCCTCTTACCAAACTGTTTTGATCTCTGTCACTCTGATGGGTGACAGATGGCATCCTGGTGTGGCGTTAATTTATGTTTACAGCCCCCACTGTCCTGCACCAAGCTGTGCCCTGCATGGCTTTCTCGCTAGAGTAGGAGGTGAATGGGAGGGCGGGAGGGCGGGAACAGGAACAGGAAGAGGCAGGGGTGACTGGGGGCAGGAAGGCAGCCATGCAGATCGACTTTGACTCTTCCCAGACACCCAGGTGGCCTGTGGATCTTACATCGGTCCCCAGGCCTAGCCTCAGGAAGAGGACATGGCCCATCTTCTGGAGTTCCAAGCACCTGCTGCGTACTTGGGAACATCGTCCCTCGCAGGACTCTTGTTTGTTTGCAATGCTTGGAATCGAATCTAGGTTCTCATGTGAGCTGGGCAAGTGCTCTACCACTGAGCCACCCACCCCAGGCCATCAAGACCCTTAGCCAGGCTATGTGTTTGATCTTTCTTGAAGGCATATACCCAGAGGTTATTTGCCAACGAGTGAGGCATCCAACTGTCCAGGGCTCTTGCTGGCCTCCAAACCTGCCTCTCAGACTGCCTCACTGAGAGGTCCGACTTTTGGAATGTGGTGGTTTCTAGTGAGTCCTGCCTTGCCCACCCAGGATGGCTGACTGGCTGCACACATACTCTTCTCCGTGAGGGAACATGTGCTCTCCTAGTGGCTGAGGGCCACCTGTGCAGAATTTGCTTCCTGACACCACAGCTTTGCATGGTGTTTTTCCAGGGAAGGGGGTACCTCTGTCCCATGCCTGTGCACGGCTGCTATACCCCATGTTGGAAGGTGCTGGAGGCCCAGAGACCCACAAGCCCAGCCAAGCGGCTTTCATGGAAGTCAAGGCCATACCACTGATGAAACAATGGGCTGGCTCCACGGTTTATTTGTCAGGTACTTTTGGGTGCACATATGCCAGGTGCCATTCTCAGAGGTCAGATAGTGGGAATGAATGGGGGGGTGTGAGAGACAGCATGAAAGTCACATCAAGTTCTGGATGAGGTCCATCCGAGTTTCCCAGGGTGCCACAGTAATGAAGTCCCACAAACAGGGTGGCCCAGAACATTAGGACTGGATTTCTTGGAGGCTGTGATTTCAGAACTAGAGCCAGTGGGGCCTGTCCCCTCTGAAAACTGTGTGTGTGTGGGGGGGGAGGTTTACATGAGTGTGTGTGTGTGTGTGTGTGTGTGTGTGTGTGTATGCACATGCATGTGTGCACCTGTGTGTGAATGTGCTCTTCTTGAAGCACGCTGAGGTGGCTGCCAGCCTCCTCTCAGCACAACCCCAGCTGTTTCCACTCGGGCTTCCCCTGCGTGGCCTATGGCATGAGAGGGTCCACTCCACTCAACTGTGAGTATGCGCCTGCATATGTCTACAGAAACACTAGTTCTGAATGAGGATGGTTCCACTGACAGATCTGGAGAGAGAAATGGGGCTGAAGAGGCTGCCTGGGGAAGGGCCTGGGGACTGAGTGGTGAGAGGAAGCCTGACCTCCACAGCCGCCCCTGCTTCTCTTCAGCTTCATTCCATAGGTCTGTCTCCTCCACCTACAACTTTTTTCCCTCCTGGTTGCACTGAGGACTGAACCCAGGGCCTTGTGCATTCTAGGCAAGCACTCTACCACTGAGCTACGTCCCCAGAACTCTTATTTTACCTTTCGGTTTGAGACAGGGTGTCACTAAGAGATCCTAATCCTCCTGAGTGTGGAGCACCACCGGACTCAATTTCACCTAAACTGTTATCAGAAAAGCTCTTGAGAAGCGTGGTCTCCAGTTCCCAAACCGGGGCCAAGTCTCCGTGTGGCCTTTCTCTCTCTGACTGGCCTTCTGTGGTGGTTTTAGGACACTTCGACCTTGCCCATTTCACAGACTCCTTCCTTCAGAGTGCTAGTGTGTATATGCCAGTGGGTGCAAGATAACTAGAAACACAGAGAAGTTCTGTTTCCTTCAACAGCAGTGCCTGGGCCAGGCTTCCCTCGACTCTGTTCACAACCTAGCTGAAGATTCTCCCACTAACTTGTGTGCCACAATATCTGTGGGGACAATAAAAGTCACACAACCTCAGAATACCAAAGCCCAGCAGCAAAGAAAGGCGACCTTGGCTGTTAGGGAACTTTGGAATGTATCTGAGGGGCAGCCCCCCATCATCTCTGAGTGCTACCCTTCTCCAGGCTCCAGAAATAAGTCTTTCAAAACAAACTTTTGGTTCCTGACCACTAGAACTCTTGAACAGCCTAGAGTTCTCTGCTTTGGGTTCATTTTTTCTTTTCTTTTTTCTTTTCCTCCCCTTAACATAGATTGAAATGGCCATTTCCATTGGTGACCTGACGTCACTCAGCACTCAGAGCAGTGAACAGAAGGACCATCAACACCAACTCTCCCTTCCCTTCCCCGTGCTCCCTGAACACCACCATACCTAGACTATTCATGTAGTCTTGTCCAGGGAGGCACAGGCCCAGGGGCCTCCCGATATCCCTGACCAAATTTGCACAGGGTCATAGTTTGAAGGAACACACACATATCACACACCTTTAGATGGTCGTCTGGTCTAAGACCCAATAGTGGAATCCACCAGGACTTTCCTGGCCCCATCCTCAGCCCGTCACCCACTCCTTCCTCTGAAGCTAGGGGTAGCTCAGCATCCCACTCCCGCACAAGGCAGAACCTACCTGCCTGAGTGCTCCTGGAGCACCTGGTAGACCCTGATCTGGAAGGTCTCGTTGTCAAATCGCTCCCGGATGTAGTCCTTATAGATGCGGAACTCAGCTGCAGTCACCGCTTCCCCCTCGGGGATCTTGGAAAGATCAAACCGGAACTCCCGGTGGTGGTAGCGGGGGTGGAAGAATTCCTTGTCGTGTTCCACTGGAGGGGAAGAAAACACACCAGCACAGAAAACATTTAGCGTCTGGTTTGTCTCTGTCCATGCATTTGACCTGAGCAGGGTGGACACTGCCTTTGGCGACCTTTGTGAAAACCTTCCATCCCATATAGACACACCGGGGACCCAATGGTCACAGGCTCAGACCCTAGGGACCCTTGAACAACAAGAGAACACACGGCTCTGCATCCACCTTGCTGGGCAAAGTAGAGCACTGACCACAACCAGACTGGAGTCGCAGAAGCTCAGGACTGAGTTCGAAGCCAGCCTTGGCCACTAAGTAGCACACTGGCAGTCAGAGATTCCTGATACCCCATCATCTGAAACTCAGTTTCACCATGTGGAAAGTGGGGCTGTGCTGTGTGAGGGACCTAATTCACATGAGTAACTGACCATGTTATGGTAGACAACTGTCACTGGTGAACATGTACCTTGCTAGGCCTGTCCTGGGACGGCATAGGACAGTGGTTCTCGGCCCTGGGCTGCACAGAAGAATGACTGTGGACATTTTTAAAAATCAGAGATGCCTGGCCATCGTGGGCTCGTGTTATAACCAGCTCTCAGCAGGGCTTGCCAATTCCTGTGGTGTAAATGCTACCATCATGAGAGCGTTCAATTACTGACACAAAGGCACTGAACCTCCCAGCTGGGAAGAGAATGGCACCATGAACTACCACACTATGCTGTTAATAGCCCATCCTGAACCAGAAGGGATCAGGAGCCGGCCAGAGAGAACTCTCCAGAAAGCCTCCGCATGCCTCCTGGTGTCGGCTCTCCTCCTGCCCACTCTGCAGCTAGCACATCCCTTCTAGGCCAGCACATGGGAAAGGCAAGCTAGCACAACAAAGACAGAGATACCACAGTCCCCCGGGTTTATTGACAGGAGAGGGAAGGAAAGGCTCATTTGCAGCAGCTGCTGGGAAAGGCAGTCTCCTGGATATCAAGAGAGCCTGAGGAGGTGACCCCAGGATAAGGAGGCAAGGCAGGAAGCATCATTCCGTCATCTGCCAGCTCGTCCCCACCCCTTTCATTTCTGTTACTGTGATAAAGCACCCCGACCCAAAGCGACTTAAGGGAGGGAAGGGTCTATGTGGCTCACAGGTCACAATTACAGCCCATCATAGCAGAGGACTCCAAGGCAAGAGCTTGATGGCAGGCAAGAGCAGAGAGAAATGAATGTACTCACACTACCTGCTGGCTTGCTAGCTCTCCTCGTTCTTATACGGCCAGGGCCTGACTGCCTACAGAATGCCAGCACCCATAGAGGACTTGGTCTTCCAACAACTAGCTAGTGACCAAGACAGTCCTCCACAGATACGTTCACAGGCCAACCTGATATAGACCATTTCTCAGTGTCCCAGGTGAGTCTAGGTGGTGTCAATTGGCAAGTAAAATTAAGCAGCCCAGTGTCCAAGCTGCCTTAGGGAGGGAGCATAGCACAGTGATGGCCAAGCTTGCACCGAGACCCAAAGTTGTCGAACAGTCTGCTTGGACCTACCAAACCCAGGGCCTTCGCCACCACATAGGTCTCCAGCAACAGTGAGAATAGTTTGATGGGGTGAGTTATCTGCTTGTATAACAGACTTCAGATTGTACCATCACAGGTTTGTAGCGTGTGCATGAACCACACATGGGCCTCCATGTCCCGCCATGATAATAATGGACTAAACCTTTGAACCTGTAAGCCCCCCAATGAAATGTTTCCTTTATAAAAGTTGTTTATGGTCATGGTGTCTCTCTTCACAGCAACAGCAACCCTAACTAAGACAATATTCTTCTCCCAGGTTGATTTGTGAAGAAGCACATGGAGCATGAGCTACGGAGGGCAGGCCTGTGAAGGAGACAGGGAAGGATGAAGCCACATGGAGGCCCTGAGGCTCAGGAGGCAGTCACAAGTCCCAGAGCGTCCTGTCCCGCAGTGAACAGCCAGTGCCAATGCCCACACCACCCATCTGCTCACACCAGGAAGGAGCTTCCAGGGTACACCCCAACAGCATCCCCACCCGAGCAAAGTCACTAAAGACCACACTGTAGCCAGCTGGTCTGCAGGAGGTAGCATTCAGCAGTGAGCCCAGCCTTTGGATGCTACCCTTTCTTTTCTCCGTCACCAGGAACTGTTAGGGGTCTCCTGACTCCCCCCACTCTTCTTGGTCCTAACTTCTGTCCACCTTGCAAGTATTCCCTAGGCTCAGGCTTGGCCTCCTCACTGTGATGCCTCTCAGGGAGAGCTCATCTATCTACCCAGGACATGGGTACAGCCCACAGGCAGATGGCTCCCTGCATGCAAATGACCCCACCTACAGATGACTGCCTACATGCTAATGGCTCCAACATGGAGACAGCTCTGCATATAAACGGCCCCGGAACACATAGGGCTTTCTCTCATACCTGGATGTCTCCCCCAGGCCTCCTGCTGTGTCCAGTCCTCGCCTGATGCCTCCAGTTTTAGGCCTCACAGACCAATGACAAATCAGTCCCCAAATC